ACTATTTCAGAAAGGGTACCAGACTAAACCCTTTGTGCATTTGTGTTATGAGAATGTTGTAGCTGTTGACTTCCTGCATGGTATAAAGATGGAAAATGAAATCAATTTTTTTATGACAAATGTTCATGTTGAATAGTTTAAGGTGGACCAGCACATTGTATTCTTTTCTTATAGTGTATTTCACATTTTTTCTCTTGTTTTTTTTTTCTTTTCTTAATATGAAAGGCTTATTTTTTAGGAACTGTGAATAGGAAAACATTCAGTATATTGAAATTAATTGTTACTATAGATATTACTTTATCATTCTTATAATCGACAGGTGTGTGTGTGTGTGTATGTTTATGCGTGTGCATATGTTTATGCGTGTGCGTGTGCGTGTGTATGTGTGTGTGTGTGTGTTTTCTGCATCTTTGTCTCTCTGTGTGTGTGTGTGATTGTGAAGGAGTGTGATTTTTATTTGTGCAGTTGATATAAGAATTGTGTCAATTTTCTTTATTTTTTTCTGGAATAGAATTTTGTCTGAGCCTTAATATTCTTTGAAGTAGATTAAAAGGTATCAGACCAGTATTTTTTTTTTTTCTTTTTTTTCTCTTCTTTTTTTTTCTTCTTTTTTTTTAGCCTTCAGCAAAATCAAGGCACAAGAATGACAGTGAATTTGATGTTTTCTCATTTTCCAACATACAAAACATGATGGTGGAATAATGGTTGGGCTCAACGTAACCATTTGCTAAGTAACTTTTTCTATTTTATGCAAGCTCTTTCTGCCTGAACCTTTACTCATTGGCAACCTATTCTTTAAGAGCTTATAGCTAACCTATTGTTAATGCCTTCCGATACTGCATTTGATGAGCTGTTATCAGCTGTTATCTGGTGCATTTTCATCATCAGAAAGGATTTTTCTCTCTATTCTTTAGGGTGTGTAGGATATAGTAAAGATTTTCTTGAGATCCTTTGAAAAAAAATAAATAAAAAGGAGAAGGACTATAAGTAAAGTATTTGCATACCTTTAAATAAATTATAATTTGCTATTTCTTTTATATACAGTAGTAACATGTATCCAGCTGTAGAGTTACTTGACAAACTTGTTTTTCAATTTGTAATGCAGTGAAGCTCTTTGCATTTTAACATTTTGACTAGCATTAAAATTCAGGCCAAATTCAGCTCAAACAATTCAGTGAGATAAAAAGTGTTCCTTAGAGCTTGTAAAACTGTCCTTTTTGATACTCTGACATATTTGAAATAACATTTTTCTTACTCTTTTTTAGAGAATGCCTATAATAAGTACTGTAATGTCATATCCTGACTCTTTGTCTTGTACTCCCCCATCTATTTATTACCAGGAATGTTATAATTAAATGATTGTGTCTGTATTTGTTCTTATTGCTTTGCACATGTCTCTTGGTACGTCTAGCTCATCATTAAAGGGGTTCCAACGTAGTAAGAGTCTGCGGAGGAAAGGGCTAGGTGTAAGGTATGTAGACAACGCACAATAAAAGTAATAGACAGCCACAACATATTCTACATACCCTTGCACTGTTTCATTAGATATGTGTTTCGTGCATGATTTTGGTTTTGCATTTCCTTCTCTCTCTTTTCTCTTTTGCTCTTTCTCTCTCTCTGGCTTTCCCTCAAGAAAATTTTCCGCGTCATTTTCTCGATTCTGTGTAATTACGAGCTAAAGTGGCCTTAGAGTTCAATTTCCTCTGGCAGAAATGTGAAAAGGATTGGTTGGTTGCCTTCTGTGGTCTTTTATTGATGTAAATATCAGATTTTCTTCTTTTTTTTTTTAGGGGGGGAGGGGGGTATGGGAATTAAGGCCATGGGGTTAAGACGTATTATATCAAATGTTTTCTTCCAAACTTGTTTCAGGTGAGAAGTGTGCCACCCTTTTCATGCACCTGTATATGTGCAAACACTGATTCACTGGCTCACTAACTCACTCTCTAATCGTTACCTTCTCCCACTCACTTTCTCTCTTCCTCTTTTCATCTTTCTCAGTTTCTGCCTCTGTCTCTCCCTCTCACTCTCTTTCTCCCTCTCTCTCTCCCTCTCCCTCTCCCTCTCCCTCTCCCTCTCTCTCTCTCTCTCTCCCTCTCCCTCTCCCTCTCTCCCTCTCCCTCTCTCTCTCTCTCTTTCTCTTTCTCTTTCTCTTTCTCTTTCTCTCTCTTCCCCCTCCCCCCCTCTCTGTCTCTCTCTCTCCCCCCCCTCAGCTAGAGGTTAACTAGGCTACAAGGGGCTTGGGGCCCAGGCCTGAGTCTGATCACTGGAACTAGAACTTTTTTTTATAGAAAAATATGTGTAATGAAAAAGAATATTGACTTTAAGAATTTCCAAAGAAGGGGAAACAACTTTTAGACAGTTAACAAGAAAAGTTTTTTCCTGACATAAAGAGAGCAAAAGCAGTCTTCCCTGCATGGTCTTGATGTTTTGTAAATTGGAGATAAAAGGTAAAAGGAGAGAAAAAAAAAGATGGTTTGCCTTTGCATGTGATATTTCTGTTTTTGGTTGTACGTATCAAAATTTCCTTTAGGACTGTTTATCTTTTGATCTCCCAAAAACATGTTAAAAAAATGTTATTGGTCTTTAGGAATGTTTACAGGGTACAGAACTTTTCTCCAGAGAACTGGAATAAACATACACATCTTCATGTTGATTACCATTTACATCTATTGTATATCCATATTTATGATTTATAACAGAACTTGAGTCAAGTGATAGTATTACTAATCATGATGGAATAATGGTATAAGATGTTAGAAACCAGTGAGTATACAGTAAGGCCACAAAAGCTAACTTTAATTGCTGCTAATACCATGCAAACAATTTGAAGTATCACAGGTTTTTGAGTGCATTTTCTAATTTAAAATTCTTACTGAAGTCGTCTGTGCATGCTTCTGAGATTTATTAAAAGGTTCAAAAAGTACCAATATCACTAGTCCTCTTGAGGTGCTGGCTACCGAGCTTTTGAAACTTTACTGTATGTCTTTTTTATTGTAATTTTATTTCTGACTGATCATTTTGATTAGAGATTTCATGTATTTTCTGCAGGTTGTAATCTTCAGGATTTTATAGAAATGTGTATATTTTTATAGCATTATTTAAAGATTTGATTTTTTTGTTTTTATTATTAATTTTTTAGTTTTTTTTTTTTATTTTGCTTTCCCTTTTTATATTAGAGAGTAGAGAAAAATGTATGATTACACTATCACTAGATGCTTTGCTCTTGGCCTTACTTTTATTATAGTATGCTGTTTAAGAATCATGTGTCCTTTATTTTCTTATAAAGTATTAACAGTTTTTCATATTAAAAAAAAAAAAAAAAAAAAAAAAAAAAAAAAAAAAAAAAAAATCATCATCTAGACTAACAACAAAATATGTTATTGAAATTGAACTGCTGCCGTTACAGAAGTTCCCTTGAGGTGTCTCGAGCACTTAGTCACTCAGCACCATCGGCCATAAACCTGGATGTTGCACAAGTTAAGTTTGACGAAGAGGTGTCAGTATGTTCTAATTCGTCCCAGTCACAAACGTCGTACCTGGAAGAAGTCGAGGAACACAGGTATGTTTCGGTGTGGTGTGGCCTGTTGCCTCTGAGTGCGCTTGTTGTTACTTCTCGTTGCTTTGTTTCAGTAAAGTCATTAAGAAGGAAAAAGGGGATTTTGTGACTATTATATTAATAATGCTGATGAAGGTGGCATGAGGGTGTGTGGTTAGTAGGTGTATGAGTGGATACCGTTCAGGAAAGAGAGATTATCAATTTAAACAGACAGGGAATAATGATATCTCAAAGTATACATTTTACATATACAGCCAGTAGGTTTGAGAAAGGTAAGTAATGGGCAGATAAGTTTTGGTATGAATGAATTGTTAAATATAATATTAATGAATTATTGAATATAATATTAATGAATTGTTAAATATAATAAATTAGTTAACATGTGACTTTACTGAAGTATTAGCATGGTTTGAAATATTTCTATCTGTACATGTGCATAGTAGGAAATTGAAAGGAAAGGTGCCAGAATTCTTTTGCATTGTTTGTATAGTTCTGTGTTGGAATGTGTTTTGTCCACACATTCATTTGTCTATGTGAATATCTCTCTGTCTGTCTGCCTGTCTGTTTACGTCTATGTTACATGTTTTGGCATTGATATCCTAGGGCAATGTAGAAGAAAGTCCTTAGTATATATTTTGGTGTTTGTTGTGTATAGATCTTCAGCATTTCTTTCATAAAAAAAATTTCTGAATTAGCTGTAGCCAAATGAAGACATTGAATTTGTTTTGCTCTTGAAAATATTTTGCACTTAACTGTTGGTGCTAGGAGGTCATGCATACATAATCTGTCTGCTGTGGTTTTAGTGTATTAGCTTTGTTTACACATGATAAATGGTATTCAAATGCTTTGTCACAAAGGAGTCATTACTAGGCCTACCTGATTCCACTAGTTTACCTTACTCCTTTTTTATCACTGTTTGTATTGTTATTAATGTTATAATGATAATGTCAGTAATATTATTGATAACATTAATAACAATAAGAATAGCATTGGATAGTCAAGGAATGGGGTGAACAGATGAGGTCAGGCTTAGTTAAATGATTCTTTGGTGACTGAGTATATGTGTGAACCTGTCTGTGTGTAAACAAAATTGACAGACTACAATTACAGTGGACAGTGCATGTTCCTGGTTCCAATGGTTAATTTCATCATAACCTCTTTTTGGTAATAGAGAAGTGTATTGTTTTCAACTCTTGGTGTAACTTTTACATTGTTTCTTGCTGTCAAAAAGAAATATGGCAATGTAAAGCCTTGCAAAACATGAAATTGCCAATTGCTAATAATCAATCAAATGTTAAAAATCTAATTGGCACTGAGGGCAGTAATCCCCATTCAGTTTAGCCATTGGCACTTAAAACCTTATTTTTTGTCATTCTCAAATACTGTATGAATTACTGTGGAGCAAATAAAAAGTTTGTTTTGAGCTTTATCCTTTATTAAAGAA